AAAGATTTCGGGATGCAATTGTGGTTTCATGGTATGTGCCTGCACACGCATACTGAGGGTACTGGGGTTTGTTGACAGCCGCTGAGGCAACCAGGCGGCTTCCTTGTTCTGGGCATTCAGTCGCCATTGATGTCGTGCTGACCAATCGCCAGGCAAACCGGTGCAAAGACTACGGGAGAGGAATCGAATATGAAGCTCATCACGTTGCTGGGTCAGCCACTGTTCTAAAACAGAATAGACGCAAAGCAGAGTATACACACTGTTTTGAACCACAAAACAGTATTTGAACCTGAACGATCACCGGTGCGAAACACCACTGCCCGACAGCTCTGCCCGACAGCTCTGCCCGACGCAACTTGGGTTCGTGGCCCCTCCCAAAAGTGTACCAGCATCAGAGGAGTTGTACAGCGTTCGTACTAGGATTCTGGATCGCTTCTCCTACGGAATGGCGATACGATTTTTCGTTTTAGATCTGAAAGGTGCCCGTGGGGACAGGAGAGGTGCCAGAACGATACCGGAATGTCGTGGACATTTTGCCTGCGGTTCAGCTTCCCGGTCCAGTTGTAATCTCATGATGGCTTCAGCACAAACCACTGCATCGTTGTTCTTCAAGATGTTCAGAGAGTACCTCAACCAAGCTCCGTGGATGATGGTGAACGAGTGCCGTGCGAACACACAGTACTTCCCTCCAGTTGATCGCTCCACGTCCTTGCACTGTGCGCTGCTTGGGGTAAAGTCCGTCTACTGTTCACTGCAAGGAAACTGTCCGCTATGTATTACTGCCGTTGAACCAACGTCGGGCACCAAAATACACTGCAAGGGATCTGTCAACTACGTATTACAACGTGAGCTACAACTAAAGTCAAGTCATTTGTCATTGACGAAGCTTGTACATGAGTGCATAGCCCATCCATGTGATGGTGCCTGCCGAGATTTTCTTTTTGACAAAGTCTGCATGTGATATGTCACCGAATTGGTGTGTCTCGTGCGGGACGGTCCACGGCAACAGGGAACCTGCAAATCATGCCGACCGCTCGCCTGTCGAGACTGCGACACGAGTCGCAAATCCAGCGCCCGGAGGTAGCACAAGGCTTCTACCGCAGCGCGCTTCGTCCCAGCAACATAATCGCGAACTGGTTCGAAGACCGAGTCTTTCTGGGTGCGACCAATCTGTCGGCGCGGCAGGTTTTATTACGTAGCATCCACCCACACCTTGCTCCCACCTGTGAGATGTCCTAGGAGGTTTTGGCTCCGTGTTGCATCGACTTGGTTTCAGTATACCCAGTGGCTGGCTACTCGGCCGTTACTTTGCACTTTTTGACAGTTTCGATTACGGTGCACCAAATGTGGCAATGGATGGCTCGTACACAGCGAGGGCCTTCGTGCATGCAGGAGCTCATCTCGCCGCACTCTCTCTACGTAGATTCTTTGCATACACGCACGCACGCACCGCTCCTCGAGTGTCGGATGAGTGTTCCGTGGCGTCGGGCACATCTCGCACAACGTTTGTAAGGTTGCGTATGCGAGAAGCAGGATATCGATAAAGCATATGGAGCATCACGTGTCTGGCATCGGTCATCGTGTTCTGTCGGCCGTCGTCGTTGTCGATACCAGGACCACGATGCACCGACTCTGCCATGGAGCCGCCTGGTCGGAAACGAATCGCATCAGATCCTGTGGCATATCCCAGCCGGTCACAGCGCCTCCTCCAGCGCAATGTAAACAAGCGACGCTTCCCGCGCCCCTTCAACGGATTCTGTTTTCCAGTTGTTCTGTCTGGGACACGCTGGTGGGTTGATTGCTGCGACGCCAAGGTAGCATTCGTGGTTTCGCTACCGGACTAGCAGAACTAGCAACACCATGGGCACGCCGATCATGGAGCAGAAGAGCGCCAAGCTCATCATTTACGACGATCTGGACGAAGACATCCCGTACCACGTCCTTGACAACATCCAGGAGAACCGCCGGTTTATCTGGTGGGCGCTTCTCTTCCTCAACGGCTCGTGCCTCTGGGCGTACTACTCGTGCTTGTCGGCGCAGACATATTACTCGGCCCGCTTTATCAACTCGACGTTCCAGTTTGAGTACTTGACGACGCCCGTCACGACATGGCCCATGTTTGCAGGCACCTTTTTCCAAGTCATCTTTGGTCTCGACAAGAAGCTCGGTCTCTGGAACCGTGTCCTCATTGGCTACTCGCTCTTCATGCTCTGCGCGCTCGCAGTCATTCTCCAAGACGTCTTTGACGCCGACCCGCAGACCGGAGGGACGATCGTCCTTATCGCTTTCGGCGTCGTCGGCTTTACCAACTCGCTCACCGAGGCGGCCTTTTACGCACTCTCGGCCCTCTTTCCCGAGGCCGCGTTTACGAACGCGATTCAATTGGGCAACGGCGCGTCCGGCATCATCAACATTACGTTCAACACGCTCATCCAGCTCTGCGTCGGCGGCATCAAGCCCGCACCGCAAGACACGGCCAACATCCAGAAGATCTCGTTCTACATTTTCTTCAGCGTCTTCATCGTCGTGTGCTTCCTCGCGGTGTTTACGTTCCACAAGCTGCTGCGGATTCCGAGCGTCCACTACCTCATGGAACGCAACGACCTTGAGACCGCCAAGCGCCACGCCAGCCGCGAGACGCTCTTTGAGATGTGGGGCCGTCTCGGCCGCATCACGCGCGTCATCATGGTCCCGCTCGCAAGTCAGTTTATCATTTATGTGTGCTCGCTCACGGCCTTTCCTGGCATTGGCATCTCGTCTGGGAACCAGCTCGCGGCGCTCCATGGCGCGTCGTGGGCCTCCTGGTACGTCAACGGCGTCCTCCTCTGCTACAACTATGGGGACTTTTTTGGCCGCGTCCTCTCGCCCAAGCTGTACCCGTACTTTTCGCTCGAGTCGTGCTTTACGTGGACGCTCGTTCGGTGGGTTCTCTTTGTCGCGCTGCTCATGGGCCTCCCGGGCAACGGCGCCAACCCCCTCTTTTGCATGGGCGACGCGTACGCGCTCAACGTCTTTTGGCAGCTCTTCATCAACTTTATGCTCGGGCTCTCGACTGGTGTCTTGAGTACAATCACGTTCGGCCTTGGCCCGCGCCTCGTACCTCAAGACGACCGCGAGTCGGCCGGTGCCATCATGTGTCTCGGTCTCTTCCTCGGTATCTCGACCGGCGCCACAATTGGCTGGCGTTTTGGCCAAAACCACTGGCTCGGTGCATAACTTTATTCGCACTGCTGGTTTTATCTGTTCTATCGCTAACACCGACCACAATCGACTATCTATTTAGCTTTTCTATGTTGTCCTGTTGTGCATCGACGCTGTGCTTTGGCTATGGCATGTACCCTAGCCCTGGATGCACATTGCACTTTCGGCGAAAGTGCACTCTCGTATCCGGTCGATCTCCGGTTACGGTTCCCAGGGCGGCCACACATCTGCATCAAACAGGAGCATGCCACTCAAAGGGATCCCGTCCATCTTGCCGCCGACGCTGCTGCACACGCTGGCCTCGATGGGCCACGGTGACGAGCTTCTCATTGCCGACGCCAACTTTCCCGCGTCGTCTCAAGGCCGCGACGTCATCCACATGCAGGGCTCGTCGGCGACCGACGTGCTCGCCGCCGTCCTCTCGCTCCTTCCGCTCGACTCGTTTGCGCAGTACCAAGCGACGGTCATGAAGCAGGTCACGGCGCCGGATGAGGATGCACCGATCGTCCACGAGTTTGCGTCGCTCTTGACGGCGTCGTACCAAGCCGACGGCGCGCGTGCCGCGGCCCAAGTCGAGCGCGTCGACCGCTTTGCCTTTTACGAGCGCGCGAAAGCGACGTACGCGATCGTCGCGACGGGCGAGGTGCGGCTCTATGGCAACATCATCATCAAGAAGGGTGTCATCGGCGGTGACGGCAAGGTCGTCATCCTCTCCAACTAAATGACACAGACGAAACATCCATTGTTGAAATGTAGCACGCTACGCTTTACTTGCAGCCTTCACCGCCGGCGACGACAAGGCACGCCGTCGACGGAAACACCGAGAGGAGGTTGGTGACGATGCCAAAGAGCAGGCAAAGCGCCGCCATTGACAGCGTCACGTTGGCCATGCCACGGTGCGCGCCGCCGTGCGCGCGGAGGTGCTGCGCGGCCGCCTTCTGGCTCGGCAAGAGCACCAGCGTGCCAAGACTCAGCAGCTTCATGGCATACATGATCCCAAACGTCCACGCCACGCGGTCGCGGACAGCTGGCGTGTCCGTGACGACTTGGTCTTGGAAGACGTTGAAGGGGGCGTCGACGACCTTGGACAGCGCGACGGCAAAGGGTTCGGCGAGGTTGCCGACGGTAGTGAGGAGACCATACGTGGCGCCTTCGTGGCCTGCATCGGCGACCTCGACAATGACAAAGCTCGTGACGATGGACCGGACGCCGTCGGGGAGGTGGGCGAGGGCCGGGCCGCCAAGGAAGAACCACTCGCTCCGAATGAAGCCGTAGATGGTGAGGTAGCTCACGCCGCCATCAATGAGGACCACAAAGAGTGACGTGATCAAGATGAGCAGTCGCCAGTCGTGCTGTAGAAAGTAGAGCTTCGTGATGAGCATACCGGCCGCGAGAAGCCAACACGAGAGGATGCAGAAGAGCGCTTCGTTGATCGGCTTGACTTTGGCCCACTCGGACTGCACGACAGCGCCCGGCGTCGCTTCAAAGCTAAAGAAGAACGTGTTGAGGAACTGGAAGATCATGATTTGCCACAGCGCGCGCTGGTGACAAAGCAGATAGAGCTGGTGGCACTTGGTCGCTAGCGACGGCATGCCCAAAGGGATCGTATCGGGGACGCAGCCCGCGATCGGGAGCACGGCGAGAACGACCAGCGAATATGCGCCCATGAGCGCGTTGAACGAGATGCTCCAGTCAAAGTCGCCACCGTACGCGGCTCCGTTGAGCGTGAGGCCGACGACGCCGCTCGCGACGCTGGCAAAGAGCCACCTAGAGAATCATGTGATGCGAAGGATACCGGAAGCGGCAAAGGTACTTGGTGACATACGACAGCGTTTGCGTGTGGCCGCGGACGTCGATGCGCTCGGTGCGCGCGAGCTCGACCATGACGGCGTCGCACGCGACGTCCACCATGACGTACCCGACGGTGGCGCCCATGAGGAGGAGGAGGTACGTGACGCCGTCAAAGGGTGCGTCGTGGTTTTGGATCCGGCGAAGCGACGCGTTGGCAACTGTGCGTATCTGACCGTCGGCGTAGTACGGCGTCTCGGGCGGCAGTAGCGCCATCGTCAGGAGGAAGCCAAAGCAGAGGAGCCAGCCAAGGTAGATGTACGGGCGGCGCCGGTAGCCGCAGATCGGCGCCGAGTCGCTAAGGACACCGACGACGATCTTGAAGCTCCACGCAATGCCGATGAGCGTCTTGGCCGCGCTTACTTGGTACCCGTCCATGTTGAGGTACATGCGGAAGTACGGGTAAATGCACCGCGGAAACGTGCCCATGAGCAGCCCGACGACTGCGTAGTTGGCGACGAGCCCAATGTGGCGCCAATGCAAGAGGACCGGGACGCCATTGGCGTACGCATCACTGTCGTCGGCGTCGGGCTTGACGAGGAGCCCTTCGCGGTCGTCCAACATGGTACGATTGCAGCGTCGGGGTTCGTCGTACCTGCAATGACCACGTAAATTTTGTTCCGTGGCGTTTCAAGGATGGACCTTCTGTGCTACCCAACCAACTAGACGCCGCCGCCGACGAGGGTGTCCAGAGCCCTTGCCTGTCCACGCGGTACCGGTGCGCTACTTCTAACGTCCTCTCGCCGCTCACTCTGGCGGCGAAGACATCACCGGCGCCGCAGTGTGGCGATGCGACCTCCTCATGAGGGACAGCGTATGCACGAAACGAGATGGATACATACATAGTCAAAAGGAGCGCAAACAGTCTTATGAATCTTACTTACTGGCCCGGCGGCGGGCGCATCATCGGGGGCGGGCCCGGGGGGCGCATACCCGGCGGCATCATGCCAGGCGGGGGCACCATGCCCGGCGGCGGCACCATGCCAGGGGGAAGCATGCCCGGGGGCATCATGGGAGGGCGGACGCCCGGCGGCGGCCCACGGGGGAGGCCACCCGGCATGCCCATGGGGGCACCACGGCCGTACGCTTGCGGCTGGGCCTGGGCAGCAACTAGACGAAGAACATTGCATGAGCGCATCGTCCATGATAAAGAGCGCAGCGGGTCGCTATCGACGCGACGCGCAAGATGTACATGTGCAACATACCTTGGCCGGGTTGCAGCATACCGCCGGGACCACCGATGCCACGCATGGGCGCAGCGAGACCCATGGGCACGCCAAGAGGTGCGGCAGGAAGGCCACGGCCCGCGGCGCGCGCCACGCCCGGGCCCATGATGCCGAGACCTTCGGCTTCGTGGGCAGGCGGCGGCGACTCGACCGTGAGCGACACGACGTTTTCACCGCGCAGGAGGACGAGGCCAAGCATACGCTTCTGGACGCGCTCTTCCTTGAGGGACGCGGACGTCGCGTTCTTGACCTTGTTCTTGAGGGTCCGGAACTCCTCGCAGTCGCCAAGGACGAGGTTCATGTGTTTGTCAAAGGCCATGAAGGTCCCGATGAGCACGCGGCCGTCCGCGAGCGTGACCTTCATGCGGTAGTTGATGTAGTTAAGCATCTTACTGCTCTTGTTCATCACCTAGAGAGCGCATGAGCTTCTTCGCCGTCGATGCATGCATGACGCGTACCATGGTCGAAGGAGGCGTCGCAAGGACCCGTGAATACTACTCGCCACCGATTTGGTTTGTACGGTGTGGAAGGAGGCCGGTTGCCATTGGCCAAAATGCGTGGCTTTTCAAAAGATCTCGGCACGCTGATTGGCGCAGCGATGCGCCATCGGATTGGTTTAAAAGCTAAAGATTTCGTGCGCATCTTGACTGCATCCTTGCCGTGGTTGCTCGATGCGATGACAAGTGTTGAGCCCCAGTAGACTGCGGGAAGTTGGAAACCGACGATCGCATTTGCAATTGTACACCCCACGAGAACGAGTGAGCCGTGAGGATGTACACGTAACATTAGCGCCACAGCCACATGGCCCAAGTTCTCTACCGCAGCGACTGCATGGCCGGTTTGAGAGACCCGTAGTACCAGTAGTACCATGGCCCTTGGCGCTGAAAACCATTTTCATTTCTCTTTCTTCTCGTCGTCATTCGAGATGGCATTGCATTCTTGCAGCGCCCTAGGAACTGCGGCGTCGACGAAGCAGGTGGTGTTCGATTCGGATCTTTCCAAATGCGACGCTCTGATTGGTCCAATGCGAACGGCAAACTCAGATTGCCAGTTCGCGCGGCAGCTTGAAATCGGTTATTTCGACCGAATCTCATTCATGTAGTTGGCATTTGTATGAGTCCTAATTAGGCTTTTCCCCGAGGCCTAGTGACAGATATAAATACTTCCCGAGCATGACACCCCATGGGCTCGAAGACGCATCCGTGGCCGGCCTCATTGGCACCGGCGTCCTCTTCGGCGTCATCCACGTCATGACGGGGCCCGACCACCTCAGCGCGCTCGCGACGCTGAGCGCAGGCTCGTCCTGGCGGTCCTTCGCCCTCGGCATGCGCTGGGGCATGGGCCACTCGATCGGGCTCATCCTCATGGCTGTCTTCTTCATCCTCCTCGATGGCAAGCTCAACTTGGATAAGCTCACGATCGTGACGGACGTCATTGTTGGCGTCTTCATGGTCGCGCTGGGCGGCTACGGGCTCTTCAGCGGCCACAAAAAGTACCACGCGACGCTCGCCGAGCTCGACACGAGCAACACGAATTCGGCCAAGAAGCGGTCGTACGAAAAGTGCCCTGACGCCGACTCGTCGAGCGACTCGGAGGTCGATCTCAAGGAGGTCCACTTGGCGCCGATCGGGACGACGTCCGAAGACGAAGCCACGATCGCGTCCAGCACCGGGTCCCCGACCGTGCCCGACATTGACGACGAGATGGAAGAGCTCGACTTGGACGAGATCGAAGGTGCGCTCGAGGCGCAGCTTGAAGAGAAGAGCGCGCTCGTGCACAGTCCGGCGCCAGTCTGCGGCCGCCGGTCGTGCCTGCCCACCATCAACATGGACAACCCCGCGACGCAAAAGGTAAATAAAATGTCCTTGTCTCCCAACGTGGCGACTAAATTCTTTGCAGGCGACCGCGCTCTGCGTCGGCATCGTCCATGGCATCGCAGGTCCCGGCGGCATCCTCGGCGTCCTGCCCGCGGTCGGCCTCCACAACTGGACCAAGTCGATCGCGTACCTCGGGTCATTTTGCGTCACATCGATCCTCATCATGGGCCTCTTTGCCGCCTTTTACGGCGAAGCCACTGCGCAGCTCGGGTACGATTTCAGTGCTTCCAGCTTTCTTTCTCATTCAAGTACGCCTGTAGTCGGCGGTCGGCCCGAATTGCATATGGGATTGCGGTGTTTTCGTCGATGCTTTCGGTGCTCGTGGGCATTCTCTGGATCGTCCTCGTCGCAACCGGCAAGCTTCAGGACTTTTTTGGCGCCTAATTTGTAGATAGATTACTGTGTTTGTGTCCTAATATTATCTCGAGGTCGACTGCCTTGGTCTCCATTGTAATCTCTGGGATGTACTAGCTCTCCAGATTCTAGTCCCGATCACGAAGCGCAATGTACAGCACATTTGGCAACAACAAGCGCAGAGTGTACTCGGGCGATGATCGATGCTAAAGTGGTGCATGGGAGACTACAGCGTGGTACGTCGATGGACACGGCACCGTCGCCCGCATGCACCTACAGGGCTGTCGCGGCTTCGAGGGCTCGAGGGACGACGGACGCAAGGTCGACGGTGCAACTTGCATCATCCCATGGCCGTCTCCGCTACAATACGCGTCTGCCTCCAACAGCCTCACACTGGGCCCTGCCCGAATCGGCTGGTTACTCGGCGTGTGCACCGTCATTCGGTAATGGCCCCATGTGAGGACACTCGGCTTGCGTATTTCGCTGCGGAAGCCAAGGACGACCTCATGCACGGCAACCCCGAGCGCTGGGTGGTCTCTCCGATGAAAGATGTCGACGATTCACTAGACGCTAGCGACGGCGCTAACGTACACGAGGTTGTTGATCTTGATGATCAAGACGTCGCAGCGCGTTGTCTTGCTGTGTCCTGCGGAAATTGGGACCAAGCTTTCGCGGGATTCTGTGATAGCTCGCTCCGTGCGAGGTTTCGATCACACTGATTGACAGTTTAAGGCCGACTAGACATTGTGAAGCCGCTTGGTGCCCCGTTTCTGGCTTGGTGGAAATGACAACCGCCCAACCTTGCAGCGACTGATCCAGTGGGTCGTTGTCGCGACGTTGCTCATGAGGAAGGACCACCATCAGTCGCACGGCCAAAAAGGCTACTGTACTGCATTTCTCTCAGCGTTGCTCGGACGATCTGCCGTTATTAGCGGGAAACATCGCTAAACAGCGGTGCAAGGGCACTGCTGAAGTCGCTGGTTTAGACTGGACATTGAACGCCAGGTTGTGCATCAACAGCTCGATAAATTAGAGTTACAGAGTGGGTCGCCACCTACGCAACTGCAGCCAAACTAGCTTTCCCATTCTGCTTCTCTTCTCTACAAGTCGTCGATGGCGGGGGTCGACACCTACGCACCGTAGCGCTCGTCCGTGCGCTCTCCCCCGTCAATCCTTGAATCTTGTCAAGATTTACTTCTTGGCAATGACCTTCGAGAGGAAGTCGGCGTGCTCCTGGTAGGGGGTCTTGCCGAACTTGTTCTCGACCCAGAGGTCGGGCGTCAAGTACGAGTACGTGTTGCGGAGAGCGTAGTACGTGGCCTTGACGAAGTTACCGAGCGTACGGGTGTGGCCGCGCGCCGACGTGTAGCAATCTTCGATACCAGCCATGCCGAGGAGCTTCTTCGGGGCCGGGGCCGCGCACAAGCCCGTACCACGGGGGGCCGGAATGAGGCGGACGCGGACCGAACCGCACTTGCCCGTGACCTTGTTGCAGACCGTGTGCGGGAGACCCGACATGTTGCCCCAGTAGCCACGGCGGACCGGGACGAGCGACATCTTGGCCTGGACAATGGCACCACGGATGGCGGTGGCGACTTCCTTGGCGCACTTGACGCCGAGGCCGATGTGGCCGGCGTGGTCACCGACGGCGACGAAGGCCTTGAAGCGCGTGCGCTGGCCGGCCGTCGTCTGCTTCTGGACGGGCATGATCTTCATGACTTCGTCCTTCAGGCGGTCCTTGAGGAAGTAGTCGACAATCTCCGACTCCTTGACCGTGAGCGAGTAGAGGAAGATCTGCTCGAGCGATTCGATCTTGCCCTCCTTGACGAGGCGGCCGAGCTTCGTCACGGGGGTCCAGCCCTCCTTGCCTTCGTCACGGCGACCGCGGCCACGGCCACGGGGACCACCGCGGCCACGGGGACCACCGCGACCACGGCCAAAACCACCACGTTGTTGGGGAGCAGCGTCAGCCATCTTTTTACTTGATTTGGACGATAAAATTCAAAGTGATTTCCATCTCCCGCTGCGATTTCCGCCAAGGTAGTTTGCACCAGCCAATTTACCATCGACTTTCCACCAATCAGCTGTCAAACCTTGTTACAAGAACATCATGTCGGATAAGACACTTGTATCCGGAGAGCGCCGCCTCGAGACACCTTGGAGCGATGGCGCGGTGAGGCATGGTGGCTGTGTTCTTGTCGTAACCAAAAAGCATGCATCGCGTACTGCCATAGATGCAATGACCTTGTCGACGGGTACCTTAACTAGTACCGCCAAAATACACTAATGATCGATGATCTTTCCTTGTACTAGAACTGGTTAAAGAGAGCCCACGTCCTCGGTCGTTGATGGTTGCCAGTGTCGTGTTGTAGTCGCGAGCCCGTAATTGTCCTGGCTCTAGTACTGGATGAACGTTTACATTAAAGTAGGAGGCTGGGCTTGCCAAGACGGCAAGAGTTAAAAGCTCGAGGACTTTTCGCGCCAATTTCATGGCACGGATCCACTTTGCCGTTGCCACGATGAGCTCCTCTTGCTTCCAGGCAGCGTCGTTGTTGGAGGACTTGCCGGTTTTTTGCGGTCGCACTGCAATGTGTGTGGACGTCGAAGCTTTGATAGGCTGCTGCTGCAAGTACTGTAGAGCAAGGCGGAGGAGTTGAATGATAGTCGTTGCAGCGGGTTGTAAAGCTTGTCGGTCATGTTCGACCATATGAATGGCTCTGGCATGGCTCTCTGGCATGAGATCGTACGCTACGACTAGTACTCGATCGGAGCCTCCATGGAGTCCTCAGTCCTTCGCTTGGGATTCGAATCAATTTGCTGAATTTTGGATCCGAGTGTTGTGGGTTTGTATCTTTTGTCTTGATTTTTGTATGGAGCAGCTGGCGGCCACTTTTTATTGTTCGACTTGCCATGGAACCCGACGGGCCGCCAAGCAGCCTCCGCGGGCCCTCGGACTCGACGACGTCGACGAAGCGGTCCCAGAGCCGTGACTCCAAGGCCAGCCACTCGTCGAGCTCTCGGCGCATGAGCTTCTTCGGCCGCCCCGTCGAGGTCGACGTGCTGCATGACGCCGAGGTGTGCCAGTCCTTTGAGCTCACGGTCATGGAGGAAGAGAGCAGCCGCGGCAACATCACGTCATTGCGATCGGTCCTCGCCGAGGGCTTCAACCTGCGCGGCCTCACGCGGTCGGGCCTCGTCGTCGCCATGTACGGCTTTCTCGTGACCCTGGCCACCATTATCGTCGCCTTCTCGGTTGTGACGTTCGAAGGGTACATCGATCCTCTCCTTGCTTCCATGGCTCATGTAGCGCTAGGCACGAGATCAACCCGGGCCTCGTCATGGGCGCAGCGCAGACGTTCCTCACCAACAGCGTCGTGATCATCACGTTCCACGGCGTGCACTCGTTCCAGCGCCATCCGAACCCGCTCTTGTACTACCGCGCGGTCATGGACTTGCTCCTCTCGCTGCGCTTCCTCCTCGACCCGCTGTGGATCTACTGGGACTTTTACGACGTCTCGACGCCGCAGTCGTGCCAGTACCTCTCGGGCGTGACCGAGTTCCTCTTCATCGCGGCCGACGCCTGGTTCTTCATGCTCGCGCTCGACCTCATGCTCTCGCTCAACAACCCATTTGGAAGCGTCAAACACAACCGCCGTCGGTACATCATCGGCGTCTACTCGTTCGCCATCGTGCTTTCGGTATCTTCGCATCTTGCGACGTTTGCTCATGCATCGATACTAGTGCTTCATGTCGTTCTTCCCCGAACGCCTCTATGGCATCGCCGAGGGCAAATTTTGCTGGACAAGAGCCAAGCGGTACGTACGTCCTCTTCCGCGCAATCTGTCATACCATCGATGAACTAGATTTGAAAAGGACTATGATCCCGCCACCAACTCGTTCTTCCAGTTCAACTTCTCGACGTGGTCGTCGTTCTTCATCTGGATGGTCGTCTTTTACCTCTTTGCGTTTTACGTGCTCTTTATGGGGCTCAAGCGGCTGCGCCATGGCATCTCCAAGACCATGGAAACGCGCAAAGGTCGAGTAGATTGTCATGACGACATTATCTGTACATGATAGTGTGACTAGGCATGCTCCGTGACGGCGCGCTCAGTATCATTAGCTGGACGGTCTACTGGACGGTTACCTTTACGGTCTACGCCGTCTCGTTCAGTGCAAACGCGCCAGTGAAGGACCTCCGCCCGTCGTCGCTCTTCAAGCTCTACTGCTACGTCGTCGCGGGCCGTGGCATCGTCACGTACGTCGTAATCACGCTATCTTCTCGGTCATGCACCATGAGCGTAGGTATTTCCTGTGGTTTATGATCAACCCCGCCGAAAAGATTTTGCCTACGTGGCTCCAGTTCTCGCAGGCGTCGATCGACATCAACGTGAGCGCGCAGCTCAACACGTCGCTCCAGCAAGACTTGCTCGAGTACACGGTCAAGGGCATGACCCGTGCGATCGAAGAGGCCGACCTCGAGCACAAGTTGCCGTCGCGGCGCCCGACCGCGCAGGGCAGCATCGATGATCCGTCGACGGACCTCCGGCTCACGATCGTGGCCAACGCGCTCCAAGCCTCAACGACGAAGAACCACATTCAGTCGCCGGACGAGCGCAAGGCGCGCCGCCAGACCCTGTCGCATGTCAAGTTTACCTCGTACCGCCCGGTAAAACTGTCGTCTGTGCCAATGGCATGGCTCAATGTTTGATATTAGAGCACCTTTGCGGCACTTCGAGGGCACTTTGACGTCACGACCGAAGACTTTGTCAAGTCGTTCGAGGAAGCGACCAAGCCGAGCATCAGCGAAGGCGCGAGCGGCGCGTTCCTCTTCTTTAGCAAAGACATGCGCTTCATTGTCAAGAGTATGGTCAAAGCCGAGGCGCGGTTCCTCATCAAGATCGCACCCGAGTACGTCGAGTACCTCAAGTCGGAGGAGAAGAGCGTGCTCACGCGCTTCTATGGCTGCTTTCGGATCACGCTGTATGGCAACGACTTTTACTTTGTCGTGATGGAGAACCTCTTTGCGTCGTCGGGCCAAGAGATCCACCACCGCTTCGACATCAAAGGCAGCTGGGTCAACCGCAGCTACCAAAACCCGCGCGAAGGCACCAAGGTCAAGTGCCGGTACTGCTCGATGCAGTTTTACTACACGTCGATCGTCGCCAAAAAGCAGGTACGGAAACCTTCCATACGATCGCCTCTCAAACCAACCGCATCGCTCGGTAGTCGTGCCCCAACATGGCCGGGCCGCATGAGCCCAACGTTGTGCTCAAGGACGACGATCTGCGCACGCGCCTTCGCATTGGTCGCGCGCCAGGTACAATACCTCTTCACTCTATTCAGCGACCCATGCTGATGAACAAACATCTAGGTCGAGCACTCTTTCGCCAGCTCCAAGCCGACTCGCTGTTTCTGTGCTCGCTTGGCATCATGGACTACTCGCTCTTGATCGGCGTCGTCGACGTCGAGTACAAGGTCGATGTGGCCGCCGCGTCCAATGGCAACGGTACGTGCGTCGTCCTGATACACTGAAACATTGAACTTTTGTGTGGGATTAGACAATAGCTCGTCGCTGCACGTGTGCGACACGATCACGGGCCCGGGGTACTACTGCCTCGGTATCATTGACATTTTGCAGACGTGGAACTTTGACAAGAAGCTCGAGCGCTTCATGAAGACCTGGGTATGTCGACTTACGTATATCGAGAGATGTGGAGGTCACTGCTGCTGTAGCTCAAGCGCAGCGACCCCGCGGGCATTTCGGCGATCGAGCCAGAGACATACCAGCGCCGGTTTGAGCAAAAGTGCCGCCAGATCATCATGTTTGCCGACACGGACGTCGATGACGACGACGACGTGGTCGCGAGCCACCACCCGCGCGACGCGCAGAACGCGTACCAGGTCATGGCGCTCTTTGCGAGCAACCAAGCGCTCAAGCCCATCCCGATGATGGGCAGCTCGCCAATGCTCTTCAAAACCAAGTCCGAGTCGCGCCAAGTCGACGTCAACATGACGCCGCACCACAATGATCCCGAGCCCGTGTGGCTCTAGGCCACGTTGTTTTTTCACACAATACATTTTACCAGCACCCCGAATGACAACGCAGCTCGAGGTCGTGCCAGTTCATCGTACACCTTGCACAGTGCAAGGAGCGTCGAGAAGGATCAAGAACGAGGTAGCATTGGCAGAGCAATTAGGACGATGGCGGGTGCATGAGCACGCTCTTGAGCACTTCGACTGACTGGCAAATCTCGTGGTACAAGCTCATATTGGCCTGCGACCGCGGCAAAATTTGCTCCAAGTTGCGGTCGAGCAGCTTGTGCAGCACAACGGGCGCAAGCTGGCGGTCGTCCTTCTAGCATAGGCTCCTTAGATTCTTTCTCACGCAGCATGGCAAATGACGTACGCTGTTGGCCGCGCATTGGAGTGTTAGGACGAGGTCCATGCAGCCCATGAGCACGTCGTTGGTCTTGGACGAGATGGCACGGTCGTCCTTCGAGAGCCGCTGGATGGACGTGGCGACAAGCGACCGCGACTTGTCGTGGGCGGCCGTGAGGAACTGGTGGGCCCACCCAATTTGCTGCGGGTTCAAGCTCGACTCGAGACCGTGCGGCTCCATCAAAAGCGATTCCTACCCAAGAATAGTATCAAGTTGATACAGTCGTGCCCGCACCGGTGTGTGCTGAACCGACTGGAGCCGATGCAGCGCCGCCGCGAGCACGTCGTTGGTCGTGTCGAGGTTGACAATGACCCACGCGTACTGCGACTGAAAATGAACGAGCGCGGGGTAGGTGGTCGACGGGTCGGCGAGGAGCACGAGCGCGCGGTCGTTCATGCGTGCGAGGGCGCTCAGCAACATTTCCTTGCGCTGCAGCAGCGTTGTGACGGCCCGCATCGCAGCAAACGTGCGCTTGGTCACGCCCGCGTCCGAGAGCATCGCTCCTCGATCGACGCCTTCTTCGGGCTTGGGATACACACGCAGGGTTTGGACGGCCGGGGCGCGCGGCACGGCGACCTTGAGCGGTTGCTGCTGCCAGTACAAAAGCGACGGCTGCGGACTCTCGACGAGCTACAGGACACGCATTCATGTGCGCCTTTCTGACCGTCGTCGTCGTACCATGACGGACGTGTCGGGGCAGTTGAGGATCTCCTTGTGGTCGGCGTACGTCACAATGACCTCGTACGAGTGGTCCATGGTCGAGACGGAGCAGACGCGCCCGACGCAGAGCCGGTGCGTGAGCTTGTTGGGGTGCAGCACTAGATGCGACGCGAACTCGTTGGCAATGCGACAAAGAGCGGCGACGCACCTCGCACTTCGGTGCCAATGGCGAGCGGGTGGTAGATCTTGTACGGGAATCGAATGTCGGTCGGAAACTCCTACGCCCATGCGTCGATTCCTCGTATCCTCGGGAGTGTCTACCTTGGTGCGCTGCGCATAGCGGACGACGTTGCGGTACCGGTAGAGCTTTTGCCGTTCTTCGTTGAGGAACGTGGCGCTGAAGCGGCGCGGATGCCCCATCGAGAGGCGGATCGCCGACCATTCGGTGCGCTTGGCCCGCTGGACATGCGCCATGTTCATTTGGCCAAGACAGTCTTGGAACTCGCTGTGCTCGAAGAACGCCTCGTCGATCGCAGCGACAAAGAGCTTGCGTTCGCTTGAGCGGAGGCTGCGGCGCTTGAGCGGTTTTCGCGGCTGCGTGCGCTTTGTGGCTTGCGCCGTCGCCTTCATCGCGGTCTCGCGCTCCCACTCGACCTGCGCGTTGTAATGGTCGGTCAGGATCGCGTAGAGGCCTTCGTCGGTGGCCATGGGCAGCGAGAGGAACCTACGCGACGTGGCATTGCGAGCGATGCGTGCCGATGCCTACCCTTTGTGCATCGCGACGAGCGCTCGGACCATGTCGGACGTCCGCGCCGGTAGCTCGTTCGCGATGGCCGCGATGGCCTCATCGGGCTTGGTCTTCATGAGCTCCATGTTCGCGCGGAAGAGGTGGAAGAAGGCGCGGACGTCGTCATGCGTCCAGCGCGGCCCCAAGCGGTCGGTCCAGCCCATCGTCCGGTATACGGCTTGGAAGAACCTCTCACGCTTTATACTTTGCCGCGTCGCTGATTTGCAAGGTTTGAAATTTCAAAAAAGATATTTGGATATTTTAATAATTTAATTCAATTCCGGAACGTTCCGCGAAAAACAGCGCGAAAAAGGGTCTTTTGTCAGCAATATTCTGCTGATATGCGAATAGTAGCTGGCGACTAGCGTTTATATGAGGTGCTATACCAACGACGTCGATGTAGCGCTCCATGAAGCGTTGTACTGAGGTACTGACCACTATACTACAGACGCCATGATGCATTGTGCGACGATAGCAAGGCCGGGCTTATACCTACGAGACCTGGAGGACGATAAGGACTAGGGTCCGATGCATATGATAGAAAAATACTAGAGCACCTATTAAGCTTAGAGTATACTTGGTGGCTCGCAGAGTGCAGGCGAAGCCGTCGTGGGCTGGCTCGGAAACCCCACGATTTCGGCACCGATCCGGCAACTGGGATTCCGAAGCGACTCGTTTAAACGCAGTACGTTAAACGCCTTTGACGCGATGTTTTACTAAAACGCGTTGGTTTGCGCAATTAACGTGTCAGTCGCCAAGGAGACAAAGAAAGCGGGTTCATGAACAAGTGGCAGGTAGATAATTCCCAAACGACAAGAAGATCAAGATGGACCGCCCGACAGATGCGAACGCTGGTAAGATGGATGGGCATGACGGTATGGACATGGCGGCGTAGGCTGCGTGGGCACGCAGAGCGATCAAGCCGGCAAGGCCAGCGGCTGCGCGGGCTGCCCGAACCAGAACCTCTGCGCGAGCGGCGCGACCAAGCTCCCGGACCCGACGATGGCCCAGGTCAAGAACCACCTCAAGGACATCAAGCACATCATCTTGGTGCTGAGCGGGAAGGGCGGCGTCGGCAAGTCGACCGTGAGTTGCCAGCTCGCGTTTGGCCTCGCCGGCATGGGGCACCAGGTCGGGCTCCTCGACGTGGACATTACAGGCCCGAGCGTCCCCCGCATGCTGGGCCTGAGCGGCCAAGAGGTGCATCAGAGCAACGACGGCTGGTCGCCCGTGTACGTTGACGACAACCTCGGTGTCATGTCGATTGGCTTTATGCTGCCCAACCAAGACGACGCGATCATTTGGCGCGGCCCGAAGAAGAGCGGCCTCATCAAGCAGTTTTTGACCGACGTGACGTGGGGCGAGCTCGACTACCTCATCATCGACACGCCGCCGGGGACGTCGGACGAACACATTAGCATTGTCCAGGTACGTACACTCTACCTGTGGCGCCATCATCGACACTTGGCTTGGCACTAGTACATGAAGGAGACCAAGATTGACGGTGCGGTGGTCGTCACGACGCCGCAAGAGGTGGCGATGGCCGACGTGCGCAAAGAACTCAACTTTTGCCGCAAGACCAACCTCCCCATCCTCGGGTACGGATGTCGTTGGTCGCCGGATCGTGCTCAGCCTTCTCGTAGTGTCGTTGAGAACATGGCGGGCATCCAGCAGACGCTCGACCAAGTCAAGTTTGTCAACCCCGCGACGTCGTCGGACGACACGGCGCACTTTCTTCAGGTAGCGAGACAGGTTGCGGTTAGGTTATCACTCGCGCGCTTCTTTAGGTGTTGCGCGAGAAGGCGCCCGAGCTCCTCCCGTACGCGGTCCAACTCCAAGTGTTTCCGCCAGCGTCGGGAGGCGGCGAAGCCATGGCGAGTGCATTCAACGTGCCGTTCCTTGGTCGTTTGCCGTTAGACGCCAACCTCACGCAAGCGTGCGAGCAAGGCGTGAGCTTCCTCGAAGCCTACCCCAAGTCGAGTGCGGCGACAGCGTTCGATGCCATCGTCAAGCGCGTTATTGCCGAAGCCGACAAGCGTGCGTAAGCCAGCAACGCAGCCTTCTTGCCTTGAGATGGACCTGCCATGTCCATGTGCCGTACATTAAACATCTGGCTTCAAACAAGGAGCGTTTGCACCCTTAACCGTGTGCAATATGTACACGAAGACTCGTAGCACTGTCGATCAACGACGCTCGAGGCTCCCACTACTTGCTGACACAACGCGCTATTTGAAGCACCTCGAGCAAGTTCACCTCGCAAACGTTGTTCCTACGAGGTGGTGGCGCCCGTCCAGGAGGAATCGCCAAGACAGTCCGCGTGGCAATGCGGAGGGTGTGGACGGAGACAGCGGCGTCGTCCTCGACCGTCAGCGTCCCCTGCTGCGACGGCACCGAGAGAGCGCCCACCTGCGAAATCTCGTACAATCGGGACTCTAGTTTCGTCGCGTTCTCGTTGACTTGCACCCAAAGCTCGTACTGAACGCCAACGCAGTGGAGATGCCCGCGGTTTCACACATCGTCTTGCTCCTTCACGCATGCTCGTCGACAACGCAGTTTGGTGTCATTGTCGAGGAATCGGGTAAGGGTACACTCAATGATGCTGTCGCTACGGCTTGGATGTGTGGTGCATTTAAGCCGATGAAACACAAGGAAGGGTTTCGCTTGTGCCCATCCTTGGCCCAGCTACCCCGTGCGTCCGACCGAAACCATGCGCGGTGCATCCTTCAATACGATTCTGCTGCTACTAGTGCATTGGGTAGCAACAAAAGAAGTGAAATGCGAGTTTTGGAGTTGATGCACCGCGACCTAGTTGTGGCAGCTGCGATGTGCTTGTCGGAGCACCCGACCAAGGTCCACAGCGCACACGTCGTGCATGCCTGAGGGAATCTCGTCTCCGTGTGGAATAGCGAGCAAATGGCGCGTGTCGATACGAAGAATGTACTGCTTCATGTCGTCATCGACCGTCAGAGACCCTTGCTGCGACGGAAGGGGCAGATCGCCCACCTGCGAGATCTCAAATAGCTTGTACGCGAGCGTCGACGCGTTCTCGTTGACTTTCATCAAAAGCACGTACTTGACGCCAACGTAGTGGGACCACCAGTTGCCCGCGGCTTCAAGCCCAGTCCACGTCTGATAGTGGCCGACCACAACCGCCAACGTTACCCACTCGCTGCATCGACGCAGCACGCGCGGTGGTCCTTCATCGAGCGTCGGCGGTGGGCCTCGGTTGAGCGTATTGTAAAATGGACCGTAGGTCGCATCAGCCTGCATCATCTTGATGCCTTGGCCTCGCGACGCCGTGAACGAGCCACTCGAGTTTACTTCATCGCCGTCGCCTGTAGCCTGGAGGAACGCGTACTCGAAATTTCCGATGACCGTCTCGTGCGCACACGATGCAACGTCCGTAATGATAACGTCACCGTCGACGAGGTCCACAAAGCGCAAGCGAAAGGGCGCTTCCTCGTCGTCCTCAAAGTAGGCGTTGAAGAGGTCGACCGAGACACCAGAGAGGACGACGAACGGCTCGTGGCATGTCGTAAAGTGGTGTAGTAGCTGCTCAAAGGAGACGGCCTCAAAGGCCGCCGTGATAGACTCGAGCGTTGGGACGGGAGCGTCGTCTTGCATGGTTGGCCAACCCGGAAAAAGCTGACGTGGAATGACGGGCTTTGACGACTTGGTGACCTGTCGCTCTGATCCTAACGGACTATTTTTTCTTTGGAATCGCTTCCCGTTTTCTCATTCTGGACAGGTCCGTGTGTTCGTCCTGGGAAGCGACGTTGCCCAGCTTTGCCCAGTTGCTCTTTGTACACTCAAAGACTCAACGGCGCCACATTGCGAGTGTGTGGAGGTATCATTTTACGATGCACAACCCCGCACTCGCCACTTCAGTTGCAACGCTCGAGTCTATCACGGCGGCCTTTGAGGCCGTCTCCTTTGAGCAGCTACTACACCACTTCACGACGTGCCACGAGCCGTTCGTCGTCCTCTCTGGTGTCTCGGTCGACCTCTTCAACGCCTACTTTGAGGACGACGAGGAAGCTCCCTTTCGCTTGCGCTTTGTGGACCTCGTCGACGGTGACGTTATCATTACGGATGTTGCATCGTGTGAGCACGAGAAGTTCACCCGCCGTTTCGAGTACGCGCTTCTCCAGGCTTCAGGCTTCAGGCAAGGAGCTTGAATCGATTGGCTCGTTCACGGCGTCACGCGGCCAAGGCATCAAGAAGAAGCAGGCCGACGCGACGTTTGGGCCACGGCGCCGCACGCTCAACCGAGGCCCACCGCCGACGCTCGATGAAGGACCACCGCGCGTGCTGCGTAAGCTCAAGAGCTGGGTGACGCTGGCTGTCGAGGTTGGCCACTATCAGACGTGGAATGGGCTTGAAGCCGCGGGCAACTGGTGGTCCCACTACGTTGGCGTCAAGTACGTGCTTTTGATGAAAGTCAACGAGAACGCGACGACGTTGGAGTACCGATTGCACAAGATTTCGCAGATCGGCGACCTCCCGGTGCCGTCGCAGCAAGGAACGCTGACGGTCGAGGACGACGCAGCTGCAGGTGATCACATCCTCCGCTTCGACACGCGCGTCGTTTTGGCGATTCCTCCTGGACTGCCGTTGCCCTCTGGAATGAACGACGTTTGCAACGTGAGCTTGCTCGACCTGCTCCAAGAAACAAATGATGGCATGATCAGCGAGTAGCTACTAGATACGATCTCAAGCACGTCGTAGTTTTAAGTTGAAGGTGCAGCTTGGAGGTCCTCTTTGATATACCAGCGCTATACTCACCAAGGGTTGATCGTCTGAAGCATCGCAATCATGAGAGCAAACTTGAACGTTGACGTGTACGACACTGTATTCAACGCTGAGAAAATTGACACCACGGTGTTTGTGTGACCGCTTCCGCCACGAAGACAACGCCAGACAAAGGGAGGCCGTACTCCCAAACACCGGCGTGTGTACTACGAGGCAAATAGGGAGGTGACAGCTAAGCTACGTCTACTGGCTGCTGCCAAAGATTGTACAGTCTCACATCAACGGGCTTCTCCCGTAGGACTAAACGTGCAAACACACATCGCCTTGTCCCGGCCTAGTGGTGTTGACGTGGGCTAGGCTCACACCCAGTGCCCCACCACTGCATGCGACCAACGGTCACAGTTTGTCGACAGAAAGCGATGGACGCCATCTCTAGTTAATCTGTGACTTTCGACTAACTACGAAACGCTTCGTTTCACGCGCTTCATTTTGGTCGATTAAGCCATATGTCGGGGAAGCCCCCGCCGCTCTCGGAGGAGGCCAAGGCGTCGCTCAAATCCTTTGCCCGGTCGTCGAACACACTGGATTCGTCAGCGATAGCATCGGCCGTAGCTCCGCGCTCGCCATCGATGGCGTCTCTTCTGCCGAGCGAGGTCCCAACTACCTCGGCTTGTGAGGCGAGTGGGGACGCCCGCCTTGAAGAGAAGGATCGCGTCATCGTGCTCTTGAACGAGACCGCGAAAGCCTTTCAGATTGAAGTCGGCGCGCTCACACAAGAGGTGGCTCGGCTCACGTCGCAGCTGGACCAGCGCGACTTGACGATCCAAGGTCTTGAGCGAGAGCTGCGAGATACCGCGGCGTCCACGTCCGACCAGGTCCTCGTCAGCATCGAGACTACTGTCCTGCAATGCCCGCTGTAGGTCAAAGCCTCGAGCGCGTTTCGCGCGCAGCTCCTTTTGCAGCAGTCGATTGTGGACGAACTCAAGGCGCAAATGGCCACGTCCGAAGCCGACTTTGACAGTCTGCGGACCGCGTTCGAGGCCAAAGACACGGTAGAATGCAAACCACTTGGCTCTTAATTTTTGTTTGATCGCATGGCGTTGTAGGCGTGTGCAGGGCATCTCGCGGCTGTCGCCGAGGCCGAGACGCAGCGCACGAGTCTGCAGACCGAGATCGACCGTCTCCACGTCCTATTGCGTCGGTATGAAAAAGCGCAGGCCGATCGCGAGGCCCAGAAACCGATATTGGCCGATGCATGCTTGTCGGCGCGAGATTACTCGGAGAATCAACTCATTTCGCTGCGCGACGACGCTATCTCGGCCAAAGCAAAGGAGCTCGCGCTGGTGACGGCCGCCAACGACGCTTTACGGGCTCAGCTTGATGCAGTCGAAGCCGAGGTCGACCAGCTGCAGAGCACGCTCAGTGCAAAGGAGATGGAGTTTTACCGCAGTACACGCAAGATTGAAAAGCTTGAGCGCCACGTGACGTCACTCGAGGCGAATGCCAAGCAGGCACAAGGCCGCGAGTTTGCGATCGAGCTCAGCACAAAGCAAAACACCCAGCTGCTGCAGTGTCTGCAAGCCCAAGAGGCTAAAGTACGTGCCAAAATGCATATTTTGCGGCGTTAAAGCCGCGTGCATAGACGGAAGCGCTGCAAGCCGAGGTTGCGGCGTTGACTCTGGACCTCCAGCATGCAAAGGAAGCTTCGTCGTCGCTCAAGACCGCGTCGGTGGCCGTACGAGCCATGCCAAAATCGAGCTCGAGGATGGTAGCATGTTGAAGCTAGGTCGAGATCGAGCTCCAGCTCAAGAGCAAGTCGGTGGAGCGGCAGTCGTCGTCGCTCGCGAGTACGCTGGAGAAGGTTCAGAGAGAGCGTGAAAAGTTCCGACTCGAATTGACGGAGCTCCGGCACGCGACGCGTCTCGAGGTCGAGTCGATTCAAGAGGAGCTCGTTCTTCGACGCAACAAGCAATATGAGCTCACGCTCAAGCTTCAAGTCGTCGCAAAAGTATGTTTTGTCACTTTGATGGACGCATGGCGGTGTAGGAACGCGAGTCGGAAGTGCACGAACTTCGTCACGCTGTCGAGACCACACGCGAGACGCTCGATGCCACAAGCGCGCGCATGCTCCACGTCGAACGCTTGTACAACGACGCGCAGCGGTGGAAAGAGGACACGAAAGGCGTGCTGGACCGCGTCCAGGCGGCATACGAGGCACTTCAAAAACAGTATACAACCGACACGACCGAGCTCGCACAGCACCAAAGTGCACTGGAAGCACAAGTGCGCGAACTTCAAAGCTACATTGAAAAACTGCATAAAGACGCCCAAGATGCCGTGGTGGCCACGAAGGCGCATGCTCACGAGCTTGAGAGCGCGAATGCCGAGAAGCATCAGCTGCTTGATCGTATCCACCGCCTCGTGGCCGAGACGAACCGCGAGACGAAGTTGCGCGTGAGCACCGAAATGGACTACAAGGTTCGCGCACGTCACGTTCACTTGCACTTGTAATCCATTCAACATGAAAGGTCCTGCAAGAACAACTCAACCGTATGCAGCACGAGTCCTCGACAGTGCTGCAAAGTTGCCATCGTGACCATGCGGCGCTCATTGAGAAGATGCAGCACCTCGAGGCGCAGCTCGACCAACTTCGTAGCGAGTGCTTGCTCGAACAAAAAGGTATATATCAGTTTTGCGTCACCTCGTTGGTCCCATAGCTTCAAACTTATGCAGGGAAAAGCAAGCTCTTGTACCTTGCGTACGTGGCACCGGCCAGCAGTGAAATCAACTTGAGCGACTGCTGGGTTTCGGATGCCGAGCTGCCGTACATCGCTGCCTACGTCAGTCGCACGGCCACCGAGAAAGGCTCTGCCATTGGCAAAATCGACTTGCGCGCCAACCGCGTGACGGACGCTGGGGTGCCGTCGCTCGTGGCGCTTCTAAAAGCCCCAGGCATAGCCAAGGTGCTTCTCCAAGACAACTACATTTCGCCCCAGGGCCTGCGCTCGCTCGCGGCTGGCATCCAAGATCTTGGCTACAGCGTCGTCGTGTCGGACCGGGGCGTCATCGAAGGGTCGCTGCCCGAGGCAACCACGACACTGCTCGTCGACGTGAGCAACAACACCAAGGATGCGGGCCTGCTCGTTCACCACCCTCAAGTTCCGGGGCTGCCCACGATGAGCAAATCGAAATTGAAAAAGATTACCAAGCCAACGATACGAGGTACTACAAGTGCATATCTATCCAACCGCTCATGAATATTGTCGTGGTGCGATAGATCCACTCGAGAATATTTACGGCGTCGACCTTGTGCAGTCCCTCCTGGAGCGACGCAAGGAGTCCTCGAAAGGCGGCGGCAGTCCTCGGCATCTCTCCCCCCGAGCGTCATCTCTCCCAAAGCTCTAGTACACTGTTGCGGTAGTCCATTCATATACCGTTGTGTCGTTGTGAAAAGTGGTCTTGATTGGACAAGAATTTACAAGCATATGTGCGCCCTTACGCCTTTACCTCATGCCGAAGTGCCACGTCATACCCACCCATAGAGTGCTTTGAAAAGTGAACGTCTCGAATCTGCGTCAACACCCAACCTCCGCTGCGCTGCGGTGGGCAGACTATTGTGCAGGCCGTGCCTTGGCGAGAGCGAGCCCACGTCTTTTACGTCATCAGAAGTTCAGGCGTAGGAGAGTTGGAATAACCAACCGCCTCTTTGTCGACAGAGACATTGTAGGATTGATATTTTGACACACCGTGGAGGGCGAGTCTAATTGCCTCTTGTTTTGTGACATTTTGGTTTTGTGTTGCAGCGTTTTTAGAAATATACCAACTATTCTGCGGGCTGCTACTTGGACAAGATATCATGGGCGCCTTCCAGCACACGAAGAAGGTTCACGTTGCAGAAGTCGTGCATGTTCGCCGGCGACGCCTCGCCTGGAGGAATTTCAAGCAGCGCGCGTATCGAAACGGAGAGTCGGACCCTTTGTACCGGCGACGTCGCCCAGCTTCACGGTCCCGCGTCGGGACGCCGGCGGGAGATCACCCACCTGCGAGATCTCGTGCAATTGGTATTCCAGTTTTGTCGCCTTCTTGTCGGCTTGCATCAAAAGCACGTACTTGACGCCGACGTAGTTGGACCACCAATTGCCTGCGACGAGAAGCCCATTCCACGCCTGATAGTGGCCGACCTCAACCGCCAGCGTCACCCACTCGCTGCATCGACGCAGCACGCGCGGTGGTTCTTCATCGAGCGTCGGCGGTGGGCCTCGGTTGAGCGTGCGGCGCCGTGGGCCAAACGTCGCGTCGGCCTGCTTCTTCTTGATGCCTTGGCCGCGTGACGCCGTGAACGAGCGACTCTTACGCACCTCCGTGCCGTTTCCTGACGCCTGGAGAAACGCGTACTCGAAATTGCCGATGAAATTCTCGTGCGCCTCCGACGGAAAGTCCGTAATGATGATGCTGCCGTTGACGAGGTCGACAAAGCGCAGCGTGACCGGAGCGTCTTCGTCGTCTTCAAAGTAGGCGTTGAAGAGCTCGATCGAGACACCAGATATCACCACAAATGGTTGGCGGGAAGTCTTCAAGTGGTGTCGTAGCTGCTCAAAGGAGACGGTGTCAAAGGCTGCGTGATGGACTCGAGCGTTGGGACGGGAGTGTTGTCTTGCATGGCTCTCCAACCCGCAGAATCAAAAATGTGAAAAGATGGAATGCGCTTTGTCGACGTTGTGGCCTGTCGCTCTGACCGAGATGCGAACGAACGGTCTACTTTATCTTAAAAATTGTATGTCGTTTTCATCTTTCGGACAGCCCAGGCTGTTCCTCAACTTCGTCGCGTTTTTTCAGCTGCGCTTTTGCACCCCAGACTTGGTGCCCTGGACTGAACGGCGCCACATTGCGAGCGTGTAGAGATGTATCATTTTACGTTTTCCGCAGAGCACGCAAGATGACACTTTCGTGACGGGAGCAGCGACAGGAGTCGCATGGCTTCGCTTGAATCGATCACAGTAGCCTTCAACGCCATATCGGGCAATGAGCGCCTACATCCCTTGGCGACACGCAGCTTGGACGACAATAAAGCCGCATCAGTTCGTTTTCGTCTCGTCGACCTCGCGAATGGCGACGTTATCGCTTTCATCTGCTTGTTGTCATCACAGACTGCACGCCGTGTGCACATGACGTATGGGCGTCGTCAACTCATGCTGCGAGCCAAGTGCCACATAAATAGGCGAAATCTAAATCGCTTGTCTTCATCCTCGTCGTTTTTCAAGAGCGCGTTGTACGTCGCAGAGATGCCACATCTCAGTGTATGCGCAGTACCACGAAGATAACGCAGAGAATGCGGACACATGTATCTATCTGTGCACCAGTACAGATCGATCGTGCCGGTGGTTGGGATCCTTGTATGTCCAAGTGCCACGTCATACCTTTCAAATCCACTGCTTTTCGAAATCGAATCTCAGAGGCGAATCAATTTTCGCGGGATCATGTTGAAGCGCGTCTGCCGGCGCGCGACCACCTCGCCCGGCCTGCCTCGCGTCGTTCTCCGTGGCATCCTACTGATGCTACGCGACATCCTCGCCTGGCTCAACGCGCTGCCATCGCCGACGTTGCCACCCGAGCTTGTCGCTCTATGTGACCTCGGCGCCGTCATCCACCCCGCCGACCATTGGCCAGTCGTT